GTGCTAGTGGAAGCTGACGCTGGCCCTAGAGAGTTCGGTTGGGACACCTTGGGAAATGAAACAGCCACATACTGGCTGCCAGGAACATACATCCATTGGAAATCTTTCCGGTAACAACTCGGAAAGTCAAATAAGTGGAGGGATAATAGAGAGTTAGAAACTGAAACATGAAAATGTTATGTCTGGAGATTTAAAATATTTTTTAAAAACCTTGTAGAGCAGGAGGGAAAAAAGGGGCTGAGTGACTGCTTAAGCGTTTAACACTGGCTCTGAGCTTACTGTTCACCACCACAAAAAAGGCACAACTAGCTGTATTTCCAAAGACACCCCCCCCCCCAAAAAAATGCATAACCTTTTAAAAGGCCACCAGGTATGTATTCTTACCCAGAGCTCACCTCCCTCTGCATTAAATGGTACCAATGGAAGTGATGCTTAAGTGAATCGCTCCCTTCTTGTACCATGCCTCAAATTATATCCCAGGCAGAATGGCCCTCCCAATAGAGCCAAATCACATTCATCTGACTGGCAGGTTTGTGCCCTCATGAACTTACTGTAGTTTTAATGGTGATCTCTGGATTGTAAAACTGCTGTCCACAAAAACGTCCCTATAATTAGCCTATCAATGTACTTAGAATCTGTACAAATTGTGGACAGAGTCCCCACAAAGCTCAGTGGTGGATATCGCATGCTCCTTTGCAAGGAGCTCCATCCCTGAGGATCGGATGGAGCTCACTGAGATTTGCTCAATTAGCAGTAGAGCCCATCCTTGAAGGTCCACCCTGAGCCAGGCCTCTAGCCTCTATTCTCAGAACCTAACACCAGCCAGCCCTACCCTTCCTGGATCTCCACCCGGAAAAGCACCCTTCCCTGGACTGGCCCCCACTACCCTGAGCACACCAACACTTCAGACGACATGGCGCCAACCCAAAAGAGAGCTCACCACTGGAGATGGCTGTACCTCAGATGGCGAGGCCACACCCAAGAGAAAGATGAGGAAGGCAATGCGCCCTCAACTTCACTCTATGTTGAAACTGGACATTGAGACTTTCCCCTCCCAGATGACCTCCACACCAGGAGGGAAATGACCATGGTGACTATTAACCTCAGAGTTGAGTTGCAAAAATGCCTCCAGTTAATTGACCCTGAAAACCCATAGCATACTATTCTTCTGAAATCACTAACTGCTTGCCTCAAAACCTTGCTAAACTTGAGTAAGTCCCCCTGGTAACATTTCACCTTTAGGGCAAGCCAAACAACGTATTCTAACCACACTGGCCACAATAAAGCATTTCTTTGCAACAACTGCTTAGCCCATGGTTAGGGCCCTCTTGGGGCTGTGATCACTGCTCACTGAACTAGATACAACTTGTTTTCTACCCATCACACCCATGATAGACTCTACTCCTCCAGTCATTCCCATCACAACGGCCAGCACCTCCTCCACATGGGAAATTGCCACCTCCACACTTCTCCATATCTCATCCATAAGTCCCTCCCCCTTGTATGCCATGACCCTACTCCACACCTCAATCAAGTGGGCCAGATCTGACACAACTATATTCATACAAACCTCCAAGACAGCAGCCCAAGCTTTGCAAGTAAAATGATGTTGGATCTGTCCCACACAGGGTCAGACCTAAAGCCCTCTGTCACCATCTATCCCACAATTCTTCCTAGTGATCAGCTAATTTGTGCTAATTTCCTCCAAAACACCACAAGCCTCAGTTAGGCTAAGCCAAAATGTTAATCTAGACCCCAAACAGGATAGCCTGTTATAACTTTACAATACATATTTAACATCTCAGAGACAGTAGTTTTAAGGACAATCTATATAATAAAAGGTTAATATGCAAATTGTCCTCTTGACCAGGAGTTCGACCAGGGGGGGGGGCAGGCCAGCCAACCGCCCATGGCCCCTCCCCCAGCTGGCCTGGCCCCATTGGCCTGGTGCGGGCCACCAGCCGGATCCCACCCATGTGCGAATTCATGAACCGGGCCTCTAGTAATTATTTAATGGACAAGTTCTATTTTTCCTCTTATTATGCAATCATTTTCATTAATTCCCCACTGGTATTTTCTAAAGACTACCTGCTCGGCCACATTGGCTCAGTGGTTGAGCATCCACCTATGAACCAGGAGGTCACAGTTCGATTCCCGGTCAGGGCACATGCCTGGGTTGTGGGCTCGATTCCTAATCATGCAGGAGGCAGCCAAATCAATGATTCCCTCTCATCATTGATGTTTCTATCTCTCTCTCCCTCTCCCTTCCTCTCTGAAATCTATAAAAATATATTTTAAAAAAAATAAAGGCTACCAACTATCCTGGAACACAAAAGGCTGGCCCTCCCCCTGTATACATACCCCTGCCCCATAATGATAAATCATGTCTCATTCAAATTCTATTGTGGACCTGACTCAGAAGCCAGAGAAGTCTACATGGCCCTGCCCAGTCGGCAAGCTATCCAGGGAGATGATCCCTATTACTACACAGTTACATTATGTACCTTCAGATAAGATGCAGTGAGAAGAATACATCACTTCTGTGACATTCTTGCAAAAGTGCATAGCCTGAATTTAATCAGGAGAAACATTAGACAAACCCAAATTAAATATGTCTACAAAACAACTGGCCAGTACTCTTCAAAAGTTTCAAGGCCATAAAAGACAAAGACTGGAGATGAAAGACAATAACTGAGGAACTATCCAGATTAAAGAGAGACAACAATTAAATGCAATGGGTAATCTTGGATTGGATCCTAGCCCAGAAAAGGGACATTAGTAGAACAATTTATGAAATTTTAATAAAGTCTGCAGATTAGTTACTAGTGTGTCAGTTTTCTGTTCTTGATGATTATGCTGTTAAAATGTAAGTCATTAATACTTGGGGGAGCAGGGTGAAGAAATTTGTTCTATTTTAAAGCCCTTTTTTTAATAAGCTCAAAATGATTGCAAAATGAAGAGGAAAAATAGAACTTGTCCATTTAAATAATTATTGTCCCTCAAACTACTGTCTCTGAGATGTTAGATATTTATTATAAAGTTGTAACAGTTTTTATCTTTTTTTTTTTCAAATACAAGCAGAAGTTTATTTAGAAAGTCACAGAGGTAGAAAAAGTGAGCCAGCTGGGCTGCATGGGCTCAGGGAAACAAGTTAGAGGCAAAAGAAGGGCCCCTGTTGCTTAGGAGAGAAAGGAAAGGTATGCCCCCTTGAGAGAAGAGTAGGGAGGTATGCTCCAGAGAGAGAGAGTGAGAGGGGGCCCTTGACTTTTCTTCTGAAAGTGCTTTCAGTATCAGTTTAATATGACACAGGAAAAGTGGTTTCTTGTAATACTTTTCCCCTGTACCCTGGGTTTTATTTAATCTGTTGGGGATATTTGTCCTGTGGAAGTTAATTACTTTCTCTTGGTGTATGTTTTTAAACTTATTTCTCTATGCCCTGTATTACCTGTTAACTGTTGGTTATATCTAAGCAAGGCTTAATGAGATTTGAGTTCAATTTGGAGGATCACAATATTCATAGAAGGTGCTGTGTAGTTACTATGCATCATATGAAGAGGTGTATCATGTCTGGTTGCCCCTTTTAATGGTGTTAGGAGGTTCAAATCATATCAGCCTGATTTCCCCCATAAAGTTCAACAGCTTTTTTAAAGGCAAATGTTATATGTTTAGCTTTATCAATAGAGGTTTTGAAATCTTGAAATCTTGCCAAGGGGTAGCAATCTTCATAATGTTTAGTTAAATTTCCTAACATAGAACTGTTGTTGAAGGTCCATGTCAAAGTGTTATGGGAAAAATATTTTTATAAGGAAATTAATCTCAAAAATTGCAAAATACAGCCGAAACCGGTTTGGCTCAGTGGATAGAGCGTCGGCCTGCGGACTGAGAGGTCCCGGGTTCGATTCCGGTCAAGGGCATGTACCTGGGTTGCGGGCACATCCCCGGTGGGGGATGTGCAAGGGGCAGCTGATCGATGTTTCTAACTCTCTCTATCTCTCTCCCTTCCTCTCTGTGAAAAATCAATAAAATATATTTAAAAAAAAAATTGCAAAATACAAATAAAGCTCAGTCACAAGAAATTATTACCATGATTGGGAATCAAGCATATAAATTTGGGAGATCTTGGTTATGAAGCTGTAAGGAAATATTTAAATCAAAATTTAGTAGGGGCCCTGGCCAGGTAGCTTGTTTGGTTGAAACTTCGACCCAATGGGTCCCATCACCTTTCAAGGCACATACATGAAGCAACCAATGAATGCATAAGTGGGTGGAACAACAAGACAGTGTTTCTCTGTGTTTCTCTCTCTCTCTCTCTCTCTCTCTCTCTCTCTCTCAATATAAACACCTGGAACCAGACAGTTAAATCAGGCTTTTGTTCTTTTTTGAGGAAAGAGATTTAAATAGATTATAAACAAAAAGACTATTTTTAATTTCTTTAAGATTGGATTTTTAAAAATATAATCTGAAGGATAGATATGAGTAAATTGCTCATTTTTAGTATTGCTTGTCCTAGTAAACTTTTAAAAGTCATTTGGCGGTAGTTGTAAGCTATTAGGTAGTTATTGGAAGGAATTCTGCTATCCATTAATCTTTTCTTCGATTGTTTAGTACAAAGCACAAATGTTGAAGAAAGGTAACAGTGCTGAAAACACCCCAACATAAAAGCCTATTCACTAATTATACACGCTCCCAGTTTTTTCTGTGCCATCAGAATCCGCTTGGAAAATATGTAAAAGTGCTACGGCCAGTAAAAGCTCACCCGATGGCTGAAAACCTTCAAAAGGACGGACGCATTAGAATGGGTTCTGAAGTTTGGAGGTCGGGGCAGGGAACTAGGTCCCAACGCGCCCAGATTCGGAGCACACGCCACCCCTCCGCTGGGCCCGCGGGCAAGGGAGCCGTGCTGGGGGCGGGGCGTCGTGACGTCACAACGCGCCCCGCCCCCTTAACGCTGCGCACTGGGGCGGCCAGAAGGTTTCCGGCGGCGCCGGCGCCATCTTGTAGGAACCTGCGACCGAGTGGGAGTGGAGTGGGGCGGCCGTTGTCGCCGACTCTTCCCTTCTCCCCACGCTCCGGTCGGCGGGTTAGTTAGGTCTCCGGTCCTCAAGGCGAAACTTGTCTCTTATTTAGTTCTGGGGAGCGCCTGGCCGACATGAGTGATGTAGAGGAGAACAACTTCGAGGGCAGAGTGAGTACAAAGCCGCGGGAGCCGTCTTCGGCGACGGCCCGATGCTCGGGGTTTCACCCGGGAGACGCGGTCGCGGGGAGTTTTGCGGGGAGTCCGCGCGCGGGGCGCAGCCTCGGGAGCCGTCGCGGTTGCTTCCTCACCTCCCAAGATGGCTTCTGGGTTCCACTCGTGCCCCAAACACCACGGGCAAGCCCCGTGCCCCTTTTTTGGGGGAGACCGACTGAGACCCGGACCCCCGGGTCCGATGTGCCCCCGCAGCGCGCCCTCCCTTTTTGCCACCCCCCGAGGTGCGGGTCCCCGTGGCGGTGAGGCGGGCGGAGCCGGCGGGGAGGTCCCGTCCGGCCGGACAGTGGTAGGTGCTTCCCGCGGTGGCCTCTCTGGCGACCCCGAGCATCGCGGAGGGTCTCGGGGTCGAACGTGCGCGGGGCTGCCGTCCGGGCGGGGCCCCCGCGCTGGGGCCCGTGTCTCCTTGGCTCTCTGTTGCAGTGAGCGGCCGCGGCTCTGCTGGGACCGGCGGCGCTGCGTCTCTAAAGGCGAAAGCCTTGAGGTGGAAGGTGGGACGAGCCCCAGGAAGTGGTTAGTCAACGACCGCAACGACCCTTAAGCGTCCTTAAGGCGAGAGCCGTGCGGGGAGCGCTACGCCCGGAGCCCCCTCCCCCCTCAATGCCCCCTCTACTCTCCTCGCCTCGCCTTCCGAAATGAGTGGGGAAATGCTGTAACGCCGTATTTTTTTTTTCTGATTCCTTGATGTTGGGCTGTTGTTGTTTTTTCCCCCTCTTCGTTATATCTCAGCTTCTAATGCTTTTTCTCTTCCTGTGACCTTTCATCTAAAAATTGACCACTCCTTTTGCAGGTTTTTACGGTAAAACAAACAAAAAAGTGTGTGTGGGGGGGGAGGGGGATCTTGTGTCCTAATCTTACATAACTGAAGGGATTTCATGGCTCAGTGTTTTTAAAATAGCGAGTCAGTGTATACTGTTCTCCATCAGCAAAGAGGGCGCGAAGCTTCTCATGGGTCGATGAGTGTACACATCGCAGATATGTGATTCTAAGCTTAAATGTACTAGCACGTTTGTCGGGGCTTGCGTTGTGTTTCCGAAGTTGCTCTCGAGGTGGAAATTGGTGGGAGCGAGTGTGAAACCCTGAAAACACAACCCCCAGGCAACGTGTTTCCTCTGTTGTGTTGGTATCCCGGTCACTAAGGGAAACGCGTAAAAACACTGCAGGTGTGTGCTGGCCGGATTGAAGTTTGTCTTTTAGAAGCTCATACTCTAAACACCTGGAACCGGACAGTTACATCAGGCTTTTGTTCTTTTTGAGGAAAGAGACTTAAGTAGATTATAAACAAAAAGACTTTTTAATTCCTATAAGATTGGATGTTTAAAAATCTAATCTGGAGGATCGATATAACTGAGTAAAGTGCTCATTTTTTAGGATGGGGTATTGGCTTGTCCCAGCAAACTTTTAAAAGTCATTTGGTGGTAGTTGTAAGCTATTAATTAGGTAGTTATTGGAAAGAATTCTATCCATTAATCTTTTCTTCGATTATTTCATACAAAAAAATTCATTTAATGTTTGTTTTGATTTGGTTTGTGGGGAAGAGGACTTGCTATTTGGGATCTTGTTTCCCTTAAGTTCTTAGTTTAACATACTTGTCGCCTTTCCCACCTTATATATGTAATATATGTAAGATTCCCACCCAATTTTAATCTAAAATGTATGTAGGCATTAATTTGTTTTAATAGAAAAAGAGTGTTTACACTTGTGTGGTGTTTGTGGTCATAGGAAATACTTTTTCATGATACCCAAGTATTTTAGTATGGGTGAACTCTGAATAAGTCCATGCTCATGTGTTACTTTTTTTTAACGTAGTTTGAGGTTATTGTTTTATCTGTAATTGGTTAAGGAATTAGAAGAATGCCAGAGGCTTTTCTGAAGATTTACATTTTCTTAAAGCAATTCACTCGTGCTTTTGGTTTTTAAAGTACAATGATTATCTGCTAACCACAACCAGCAGTTTTTATAGAATACAATTGTTTTCTTGTCTTTGTATCTAAATTTACAAAGGCTCAAAAAAGGATTTCAAGATGTTTAAGTAATTGTTATATTTCAAACTTTTTTTTACTAAAATAAGTTAGAGAAAACTGATAGGTCAGTATTTAGATTTCATTTGCTTTACAGAATAAACATATTTACCCCATCTTGCTGAGAAGATACTTAAAATTAAAGGGCAACTTTCTAGAGAGTTCAGAACACATTTTTAAAAATAGGGCTAATACTAAGGGTTTGTATTTTGATAGAATTTTAGAATCTATATACCCACTCCCCCAAAAATGTTGACATACTTTGTCATTTAGTTCTCATTTAAGGGCTGCAGTACTCTGATCATTTTAGAAATTAAAAAATGAGGCCCAGTCCGGCCACTGTTGCTCAGTGGTTGACCATTGCTATGAACCTGGAGTCCACCGTTCAGTTCCAGGTGTAGGCACACGCCTGGGTTGCAGGCTCCATCCCCAGTAGGAGGGCTTGCAGGAGGCAACCTATCAATGATTCTCATCATTGATGTTTCTTACTCCCTCTCCCCTTCTCTCTGAAATTCAATAAAAATATATTTTTAAAATAAAATACTGAGGCCCAGAAGACCATGCAGCCAGGAATTTGAGATGTACAAATCCCAGTTATTTGCTCATACCAACACTATGTTGTTTACTTTTTGTTTTTAAAGAGTGCATGTACTTCAGTGCCTCTGAGCCATTAATGGATTTTGCTAAACACAGTTACAGGAGCTTAATTTTCCATTATGGATTAATGTCTCTTTCATTTTAAAGTACTGGAGTAAAAGAACTTTAGGAAAGAAAATATAATTGACTCAATTTAGTTATAAGTAACCCTAAGACTTAGCTAACCAAAATTCCCTTCTGCCTGAGGTGAAACTGTTGAGAATCTGCTGCTGCCTTTTTACTATAAAAACATGTTTACAATAAAAACAGATTGGGGCGGACGGGGACGACTTGAAGTCTTATTTGGGATGACTGACAGCTCAAATCTGGGTAAAGTACATAAGCAAGTGCTGTGTGATAGAATTAATAAGGAATTCAGAAAATGGTGCCGAGCAGTTCTGTGAGCTACTGGAAAGGGAGATGGAACTATATGGAACTTACCTTGGATCTTTTGTTAAGGGAAATGAATATTGATGGTATAGATGTGACAGTGAGTGAATAGATTGCTGGAATAGTGACAGATGATAGATTGACTAAATATGCAGTCAGATAATGGAGGGTTTTGAATTCTAAATTTATGAATTTGGATTTAATCCAATATGCAGTGAGGAGCCATGTATGGATTATTAATTCTGGGAGTGGCATAATGAAAGAGATTTTAGCAAAGAACAAAGAGACTGGTACAGGAAGAGCAACAGGGCACAGTTTAAATATTTTAGGCCTGGCTGGAGTCGCTCAGTGGTTGAGCATGGGCCTATGAACCAGGAGGTCACCTTTCAATTCCCGGTCAGGGCACTCGAAGGAGACATTCAAAGGCAGCCCATCAATGATTCTCTCTCATCATTGATGTTTCTCTCTCTCCCCCTCTCCTTTCCTCTCTGAAATCAATTTTTAAAAATATATTTTAAGAAGGAAATTATGAAAAATTTGGTCTAAACAGGACATCAGTGGGATGTTAAGAATGAGACATTTTTAAGGGCTTCAAGAGAATAGTGGTGCTCATAAAATAGGTTCTTTAAAACAATTTGCTTGGGACATGTATATCACATTAACAGAACTATTTTAAGTGAAAATGTCTTTTGGAGCTGGGAGTTGGCACTTGAGCTATTGCTTTGCGGGTCTTAAAAAGAATGAGTTGTGTGTTTCGCACAGCTTCAACTAAAAGTGGGATTTCCATCTCAAGAAATCTTAGTGTCCTTTAGAGAAATTAAGGAGAATGGAAATTAAGCTTTTCTTATTTCACTTATTTTTATTCCTCTCTTCCCCTAGATTTTTTTTAATGAAACTTAGAAAAATATTGAGTCCAATTATATTCTCATACAATGGCCCCAATGTTTTTAATAGAGGTTAATGATTATTGTGTGGAAGTCCATCTTATAATTCCATAATTGTCTATGCTTTAAAGTCCATTTAAAGAGGAAAAATAATACTTACTCCTGCCCCCCTTTTTAGAGCTTACTCCTACTTTCTTAAGAGACTCCTAGGGTTACATATATATATATACGTGATTGACTAAATAATACAAATGAAGAGCAAAACACAAGTTCATCTGTACCAATTTGGGAATTAAAATTTGTTGATATTTTGTTGAACAGCAGAAATAGGGGAAGATTTATTTCTTATCTGAAACCTGATTTGTAATAATAGGGGCAGTGACTACATCATTCAAAAGCCAGCTTGGTGACTGGCTCCTTTTTAAAATAAAAAACAAACAACAAAAAACCTAAAACTTGGTTTTTTACTTTTCTGTTGATGAGGGTTTAAAATAATGTAAATAAAATTGATTTCCTATTTTACAGATAAAATGTCCGCACTTTAGCTTTCATTTCAGCTTTTTCAGAAATTTAATTTCCCCTCTCATCACATCAACCTATTAGAAAAGGATAAAGCTTCCTTTCTTATAGTAGGGGTTGTATTAAACTTGATACAGTCTTATTTGTCTTGGGTTTTCCTAAAATTAAGTACTATCGTTACCCGTTTTTTTTTTATTATTAATTGATTTGAGAGAGCGGGGTGGAGAAAAACAGAGACATCAATGTGTTGTCCACTTATTTATGCATACATTGGCTGATTCTTGTATGTGCCCTGACTGGGGATTAGACCTATTGGGACAGCACTATAACCAACTGAGCTACCCGACAGGGATTATCTAATTTTAATTCTCAGATTTTTACATTTGAGATTTCTTTCACTGAAGGGTTCTAATTTGCTCAATACAAGTAGAAGGTAGCATTTTTAAAAGGAGCAATGCAGCTAATTGTAGCCACAGAGCATAACTGTAATTTTACAGATTTGTCATAGATGCTTCTTAATATTTGTACCATTTCTGAAAGAGAATTAGTTCGGTTTTGGGACCTGAACTAATATTAAGAGATTTAAATATTTACGAATGAGCTCCATTAAAAATACAAATAAACTTATGGACTTGATTTTGTAAATGAACTAGTTATTTACCTAGGATATAACAAGTGTGAAATAGCCATGAATAATTAGCATAATAATTTCGTAGAACTTGCCAAACAGTGTGAAAACTCTTTGTAATATCAGTGGGTGCTTAGATATCAAATAACTAACCATGGAACCTTTGTAAAAGGTATATATTTACATGCTGAATTAATACTGATAATGTTCCTATGTCATAACAGATTTAGCAAGACAATTGGAGGTGAAAAAATGGCAAAGATCAGATGGGAAAAAGAATCAGTAAACCCTGTGAAAGAAAGTTGAGGTGAATAATGAAAGGAAATGTGGTTTCCCCTTCCTCCTCTAAGTTACTGCCGTGTATAGTTGTGTATAGTCCTTATTGTCTCATAATTTTCACGAAAGATGTGACTAGGCCTGACCCATCTGAAGTAGAAGGAAAAGTTTATTTTTCCTTGAAACTAAGCCCCTGTAGTCTTACTCAAATTCATAAGTACTTCATGACATTAGAAAATGAGAACATAAGTAGAGAGTACTATGACAGGTTCTTATTTTAGTAGTTTGCTTTTAGTTGCTGTTTACTGGCTTTATTATACCTAAACCTTTTTAGTTCTTATAAAGTTGTTTTCTATGCCTTTGAAATTGTCACTTAGTACACTAGCTTTTTGGATTTAATTGATGATGGCATATAAGCTGGCAGGTTTATGAGCCACATTTAAAATATCTATGAGTCTTTGCAGATACAAAGACCACTCTAACCTCACTCAGAATACATCATATAGGTATAACCTTAAAGAAAGGGAAATCATTTAAAAATAGCTAATGTTGTGAGAATTTAGGGGGTTTTTTTGTTTTGTTTTTTAAGGAATTGCTCTAATAGTTGTTAGGGACTTTTATAAGCCTAGGAGTCTGTTAAAGAAGCAGCCTATCATACTTGAGAAAGGAGACAGAACTGCTATTTCTGTAGACTGAAATGAAAGAATTGAGTGAAAGCAGGTTTTCATATGTCCTAAAGAGTGAGGTTCTTGGTACAGTACAATATAAGTTATTTGGGTAATTTAAGCGCCCCCTCCCTTGGACATACAATTTACCTAAATGCACTAGTGTATTTCTATGGAAATAGATACCCAACTTCATAAAATAGTGGGGAAATATATTTTGAGAAAGTTTATTTTAAAAGTTTACATTCTAGTCATATAGATTTGAATTGTGTAAACTTGCCACTATTACTTGGCATAGAGTTCGCCTTGCCATAAGAGTAGTATGGGTTACAGTGTAGCATTTATATTGGATTATGTGTTTAAGTATTAAGCATATACTGGTGTAAATTTTTTCACCTATAATATGATACTAGCTTTATTAAAAAGCACTGCAGTTATTGCTTGCTGTGGAAATTGTGTTCTGCAACGTGTGCATATATTGAATAACCCATTTTCCTGATTAAAATAATAGTATGTGGTTGTTGCAGTTATTTTCAATATGTAAAGTACAACTGTATTTTAACACAGAAAAGAAAGATGGCTCCTAGATGGCTTTATTGAATACTCATAACTTCCTTAATATTTATGGTTAGCTTCTTCCTTTTTGGGGCGATGGGGGAGGAGGCTATGTCCAGCTACCAGCAGAGGTACCTTGATAGTAAACAAGTTAAAAGAACAAACACGTTATTTGAGCAGGTTGTGCGGTGAGAACTTTTTGCTTGGCTTTTGATTTATAGTGGTTATGATGGAATGGAAGCCTATTTAAGACTTACATTAAAATTTGTGATATGATGTGGTTGCAAGTCAAAGGTAAAAAGGGAAATGTAGCATTTGTCCATAAAGGGCTCATTGTAGCCTGGTTTCTAATGTACAGTTCAGTGAAAACGACATTTATTTGGCACTAGCATTGGAGAAATAAGTTGCTTAAAAATGGTAAATATTAATATGACCATTTTTCTGTGTGTGAAGACTGTTAACAACTAGTTCTTAGGACAGGCCTTAGTATTATAAAAATTTTGAAGAATTAAAGGTATATTTTATTTTTATTTTTTTCTCTATATAGTTTACATTTTTTGTTTTGTTTTTTTTTCCTTATAATTTATTTTTTAGGTTAAGTGTAGTGACGACTATTTATTTTTTTAAAGTCTCGAGTTTATACATTGTTTTGGGAGAGTAAACCAATAGTGACAGCCTTGAAACTAGGAGTTAATGGAAGTTAAGAGGACTGTTTCTTAACCTTGAATGATTCTATGAAAAAATTTATGCAGATTTAGGTTCCCTGCTAAAACAAAATTGAAGGATAGGCAACAAAGGAAGTTAGATATTTGTAACACTGGATAATAAAAAAGCAAGTCTTCTTTAAAAATATGCTAATGTCTTTTGAAAAGATACTGTCATATCTTAATACTTTGTTAGCAAATAAAAGGAAAATTGCATTTTTCCCAATGAGCTGTGCCAGCACTGGGATTTAAAATTTAAGATATTACTGATTACCTTATTTATATTAGTTTCTAAGAAGTGGTAATTTTCATTACTACTGAATAATTTTCAACCATTAGTCATGCTGATGAGAGAACATTTGAAAATGAAATATACACATATATTTGTGCCTTAACATTTTTATCCTTTACTAGAAAGCTTCACATAAACATTTAATAATAAATTTGGTGTTTTAATATATAGGGTTTTTATTTCTATCCTAGTAAAATGAAAAGTTTTATAGTGTCACAGAGCACAAACCCTTCTGATATGTATTATAACAAGGGCTGTGCTGATGTTCATAGGCACTGTTGCATCTACTACTATTCTACAGTAGTATAAATGAATGTTATACCAGAGGATTTGTTTTATAGACAGGAAAGCAAAAAGAGAGAGGGGAAGATATTCTTAAATAAGCGTAGTTAGTGAACCAATCTGTGAGACTGCAATTACAAGCAAATTATTTGTGTCCCCCCCACCCCTTTTTAAAGTACTGAATATGCTGCTTTTACAGTTTCAGTGAATCAAACGGCCTGAATTGCTGTTCCTGCTCCAGGCTTCTGTCCAGAAATTTAGAGAGTATGTGAGATATTGTGTAGATAGCTAAATATATTCAGTTTTGTTTTCATCTGAAAAAATAAATATGCATAGCAGCATTAATACAGTTTTTGACATTAAGTAAAATGTAAAGGAAAAGTTGTAAGCAGGTTGCATGGTAGGAAGTCTTTTAGTTTGAAATTGTTTGATTTGGGAAGTAGTTGTTTTTAATTTCAACTTTTTCAGAAGCCAGTTTTCTGGTATAGGATATAGTCACTGAAGGGGGAGTATAAATAATGCATAGCTGCATAAAATCTGCAAAAACTATGAACAAAAAGAGGTGGGATAAAAAATAAAGACCATGTTATAATTTTGTGATAAATTCTTGTGCTATATGATACTTAATGGGTATTATAGAGTTTTTAAATGCCACAGGTGCAAAAATACATATATTAGGAATTTACAAGCCAGGGGGGGAATTTTAAGAATTTCATGCTTTTCCCCTTACTTTTTCAGAATGCTTGTCAGAACTTATCTTCCTGGTTAAGTCGAAGTGAGCAAAGATAGGTCAAACAAAATTGGGAGGTGTTAGTAATTGTACTAATTTTTTTCTACTCCTTTGAACCTTAGCATGTGTCCTGCAGTGTTTGAGTTTAGATAGGTGTGTGCAAATATTTCAGGGTAGGATGCTTTGCATGGCTTAGTGAAAGCTTATTCTTCAGGGTATAAATTAGTGAAAATGTAGATGGGAGATTATAGTTCATGTTAGATTTATGCTCGAATTAAGTATTCATGTTAAAATTGTTCACATTTTAGGAACTAGGATGAAACATGAAAGGGGAGGAGGGTGAAGAGTATGGTAAAAACATTTAGAAAAATTCAGAATTCCCTAATTTTTAGAAACTAGACTTTTGAGCAGTTTTAAAGATTATAAAGTTGTTTTTTAAATAAACTAGTTATTTGCACTTTACCTGCTGGCTTTCCATTTGGTAGATAACATTCTGAACTCCAGCAGAGTTTTATAATCCCCACGTGCTTAAATATACTAAATGTTCTTTTTCCATTAAGGTTAATGTTCGTGAAGAAATTGAAGAGTTTTTTCCAAGAATGTGGAAGATAAATCAAGATAAAAGAAGGCTAATGAAAAGTATTAAAGATCAGAAAATTAAAATTGAATGGGGGAAAAAATTGAACAGAAGATTGGTCAGATAGAAGCACTTGAATATTTTTTTAAGGCTATTTTGCATTGTTTGAATTGGGGAAGAATACACGAAGTATGAAAAATGAAAAACTCAATGAAGAATGAAGAGAAGTAGAAAGCAAGAGTGAAGTAGAATTAAAAGAATCTGGAAGAATGAATGGGTCCTAGGTTAAGTAAATGTATGGTTTATGTTCCAGTGTCTGTATGATCAAGTTGTAGATGAATTTGCATGATTACTTAGTTAATAGAGAATTGGTGATCTGGTTCAAGTAGGGAATTATTGAGGACAGTTAGCAGTATTAACAATGGGTTATTAATGAGCTGAAATTTTTTTCTGGAGGGTGTTGCCTAACCATTTGTTTTTTCAGGAGCAATCAATATAAATAATTACGGTACTTTAAATGTTAGGTGTTAGGCATCTACTTGACCAGTGCCATTTGTAATACTGTCTTCTTTGTTAGGAGTCTCGCTCTCAGTCAAAATCTCCAACGGGAACTCCTGCTCGTGTAAAATCGGAGAGCAGGTCAGGATCTCGTAGTCCATCAAGGGTTTCCAAACATTCTGAATCCCATTCTCGATCAAGATCAAAATCCAGGTATGTGTGTTTAAAATAATACTTAAAATGCTTTTTTAGGGTTTTTCAGGGCAAAGTAGTGTTTGTTTTTTCTAAAATCCCTTATTTTTTTACCTCATTTTATATAGACATTTTATCAATGATTCAAAAATTATGAAGTAGTTTTTTCAAACTGCTTAGTAATGGAGTTTAGAAATGAATAATACATTCTAGATACAGACTTAGATAAGGTAGAATTATCTCAACTCTATCAGATACTAACTAGCTATTACAACAAATTAAATGTCAGTTGATTGAAATGTGCTTGACATTTGAGCATTAGTTTTTTTTATTTTATTTCAGTAATACTTGCACAACAAAATTGGCATGTAATTTAGTACAAAGAAAGTTGATGTAAGTATGTTGTGCTGGTTATCAAATGATTTGAGAAGCTTTTTCAAGATTCACATTCCATCTACAGTCTTTACCTGAAGATTCTGACTGAAGTCCAGGGTGGAATTCTGGTCAGATGTAGTGGCAGGGAGCTGGAGGGGAGGGAGAGGAATCCCTGGGTGATTAAGAGTCCCTATCACTTACCTCCTCAACAAAGTAGGAAACAAACTAGGGAATCAGCAGTGGAAAGATGGGTGAGAAGCTCTTGAAAGCTTAAAGAAATGAAGACCATTAGATTAGAAGGGCCTTTAGGTTAATTTAGTAGATGCTAGATTGCAGCGGCTAAAGAAAGATTGGAAAGGAAATGATACTTAACAGTAAAGGAAGAATATAGTACTATAGTAAAGAGGTGATAAGTGATTCAACAAAGGATTTTATTGTGGTGTTAGTAGTTTGTTTTGTCTCGTTTGTGGTAAAATACACATAATAACCATAACCATTTTAAAATGTACAGTGCAGTGCCCTAGCTGGTTTGGCTCAGTGGATAGAGCATTGGCCTTCGGACTGAAGGATCCTGGGTTCCATTCCAGTCAAGGGCACATGCCCGGGTTGCAAGCTCGATCACCAGTAGGGGGTGTGCAGGAGGCCGCCGATCAATAATTCTCTCTCATCATTGATGTTTCTCTCCCTCTTCCTTCCTCTCTGAAATCAATAAAAATATACTTAAAAAAATAAAAATGTACAGCTCAGTGATGTTATATACATTTCATATTATTGTGCAACCATCACCACCATCCATCCCCATAACTCTTTTTATCTGTTGTAAAACGGAAACTATACCCCTTAAACCATGAGTTCCCGTTCTCTCCTCCTATCCCCTGGCAATGACCATTTTACTTTCTGTCTTCATAGATTTTGACTACCAAATGCTTCATATAAATGGAGTTATACAGTATTTGTTTTCTTGTGAGTGACTTGTTTCATTTAGCATAATGCCCTCATATTTCATCTGTGTTGAATATTGCAGAATTTCCTTCCTAGTTGTAGTTGGGCTTTTTGTTGTTTTTTGTTTGTTTTTTAATTTTGTTTTTAAAAGAAAGCAGAACTTTAACATGCTTATAAGGTAAGGTGAAAAGAGAGAATGGAGAAAGGATAGACTGAGAACAAGGAGGAGATTGTAACGATTAAGAGAACAAGAGGAAGACTACCCTTTCTTCAGTAAGGAGCTGAGAATAAACAGGGATATATGTATAGGTCCTTGGCATTAGCCATTTGTTTAAGTATTACCTGCATTTATTTCTCTCCAAGGTCGAGGTCAAGGAGGCATTCTCATAGACGTTACAGCCGATCCAGATCCCATTCTCACTCTCATAGGAGACGATCTCGAAGTAGGTCATATACACCAGAATACCGGCGTCGAAGGAGCCGAAGTCATTCTCCAATGTCTAACCGGAGAAGACATACAGGCAGCAGGGTATGTGGTTTATAAAAGTTAATGAACTTATTTTATCTTTAATATGTGTTTAGTCATAGCATAGTATCTTGCTTTATGAGAGTGAGACCTTGGTTTAAAAAGTAGTACTCAAGCCTGCCAGTGTTGCATAGTGGTTGAGTATCAACCCATGAACCAAGAGGTCACCGGTTCAATTCCCAGTCTGGGCACATGCCAGCTTGGTTACTCAAGTCCCCAGTAGGGGGCATGCAGGAGGCCATGTTTCTCATTGATGTTTCTATTTCACCATCCCTCTACCTCTTCTCTAAAGAAAATCAATAAAAACATATTTTTTAATTTAAAAAAAAGTAGTACTTAAGAAGCATCCTTGAGGGTATGGATATTATTTAATGTACATTTAAGTATATTTTCTTTCCTTGACTTTTGAGTAGTTTAAAGAGATGAAATTTGGAGAGAAATGGTATGTTCCAAAACTAAAATGGAAAGCATAATCTGAGTTGAGAATAATGAAATTAAAAGTTTTACGGCAGTTAGTGGGTAGACAGCAAGTAAGTACCAAAAACTATAGAAATAGCCAGCACTCATAATACGAGCACTGTGCAGAATTCTTTAATACAGTTAATATTCTTAACATCTGTGAGGCAAGTTGCCATGTTATGGATAAGTTGAGTCTTGAATATGTGACATGGAGGTTTGTTTTTGGCTAACTGGCAGAGTCCAGATTTCAACCAAACTCTTGACTAGTATTCCTGTGCTTAACTACTATGCTGTGCTTCTCCCATGTAATACTGCAGACTGCCATGTGCATCTACTAAGGAATGAAATTGGGCAGTGGGGAGTCTAATCAGCAATTGCAGATAAAGTCAGATTGAGTACACATCTATAGGGATGGAAAACATTTGAATAAACTAGAAATATGGCATTAAACTAAGGATGAATTCTTAGTATGCATTCTGAAAATTGCTGGGCTACAGAGTGGAGTTTTTGTTTTTATTCAGGCTACAACCTGAAGTTTATTCCACAGAAGGCAGGAGTGTTGCCCTAACCGGTTTGGCTCAGTGGATAGAGCGTCGGCCTGTGGACTGAAGGGTCCCAGGTTCGATTCCGGTCAAGGGCATGTACCTTGGTTGCGGGCACATACCCAGTAGGGAGGGTGCAGGAGGCAGCTGATTGATGTTTCTCTCTCATCGATGTTCCTGGCTCTCTATCCCTCTCTGTAAAAAATCAATAAAAATTTTTTTTTTTTTTTTAAAGAAGAAGGCAGGAGTGTTATTGTGAACTGTAGGATATAACTCATTGGTTTATTTTCCTCTTAAATTACTTTCAAGTCACTTGAAACAGTATAGTCTTTGGGTAAGGTGTTCTAAGCATAGTATTTCTGTTTTAACATTTATTTTAATTTGGAGCTTAAAATTAAACAACATCTTTATTCAACAGGCAAATCCAGATCCCAACACTTGTCTTGGAGTGTTTGGCCTCAGTTTGTATACAACAGAGAGAGATCTTCGTGAAGTATTTTCTCGATATGGACCATTGAGTGGTGTCAATGTGGTTTATGATCAGCGAACTGGACGATCACGAGGATTTGCTTTTGTCTATTTTGAGAGAATAGATGACTCAAAGGAGGTAATTTTGTTTTTATAATTGTCATTTTGAACATTTTCTGATATACATGATTATATTATTGAGTTGCTATTAAAAGTTGATTAATCGACTCCCAGTTCCATAAACATGTCCTCTTTCATTCTTGACCTGATTCATAGTGTTACAATTAGAATGACCAGTTTCACTTCTGGTATAGGTATATCCTTATTGAAATCCGGCCTTGTAAAGTGAGATGTATGTTTGAGTTAATGGAAAAATGTAAAGTGTTTCTTTTTAATAAGCCTTATTCATGTTCAGAGCAGGTGATTCAATTGACTTTTTAGAAGTATGATGTTTAGGTTTAATCTGTTTAATTTTGTGTCTAACTAGCTCTCCATGTATAGATACACAGCTTTGTTTTTCTATTCTCTTAATATTCATCTGTTATTCTGTTGTATAATCTATATATATAAAAGCCTAAGTGACCTGTCGACTGGTAGACCAGTCGCTTGACACGCACTGACCACCAGGGGGCAGACACTCAACGCAGGAGCTGCCCCCTGGTAGTAAGTGCACTCCTACAGTTGGAACACCACTAAGCTGACCAGGATGAGTGGGAGCTGGATGAGCAGGAGTGCCTCCTCCCCAATCGCCTGCGGCTTCACGCTCTACTACATTCTTCGGGGGGATGTTGGATGCGGGTTTCAGCCCGATCAAAGCAGGCTATGCCGAGGGACCCCACCGGTGCATGAATCTGTTCACCGGGCCTCTAGTTGAAAAACAATACACAAAAAGAATTAGTATTTTTAAAAAATGTTTTTATTGATTTCAGAGAGAGGGAAGGAGAGGGGGAGAGGGGTAGAAACATCAATGATGATAGAGAATCATTGATCTGGCTGCCTCCTGCACACCCCCTATTGGGGATGGAGCCCACAACCTGGGCATGTGCCCTGACCAGGAATGGAATCATGACCTCCTGGTTCATAGATACATTGGTCGGACCAAAAGAGTTATTAGTACCTTTTGGTTTTTGTTTGGTGCCATTCTTAATTTGCCTAACAGGATGATTTGAAATAGTAATGTAATAGGTATTGGATTATAAAGGAAGCAGTAGGCTTGCTTTCTCTATACTAAAAGTTTATAGTGACTGAGTTAGAAAACTCCATTTTAAGGAATTAGAAGCTAATTGTTAAGGTTTTTCAAACCTTAACAAATGACAAGTATTAGCATTTCTTCTTCGTACCATTTTACATGTGACAGTCAGTAGTCGGATATATAGATTATTGCTCTATATATCAACAGTGCTTAATTGCAGCATAATCATAATACATGTTAGCATTTCTCCTAAAAATAGTAGAGGCTATTGGCATTTACTGATGAGGCCAGGGTTGATATTAAGCATCCTACAGTGCACAGGATAGCCACCCACAGCATAGAACTAACAGTCCCAAAGTATTGATGGTGGTGTGCTTATAAAAGTCATAACAAAATAATGCTTCAGGTTGTAAGTCCTTTATATAATAGGCATTCTAATGTTTTGTCAGTATTTTTTACTGTTACATATAGTAGTCCCCCCTTATCCATCCACGGGAGATATGTTCCAAGACCCCAGTGGATGCCTAAAACCTCAGACAGGACCAAACTTTTCACTTCAAAGAAGCACTTTTTACAGCTTTTCTTAGGCATATTTGAATTGCCAGCATTGCTATACTTATGCTTTGGGGCATTATTCAGTAAAATAAGGGTTACTTGAACACAAGCACTGATATTATGACAGTTGATTTGACAACCCAGACAGCCAGTAAGTGCCTAATGGGGGTGGGTAGAGTAGGTTATATAATGTGGATATACTGGACAGGGATAATTCACATCCCGGGAGGGACATGCACAATTTTAAAACTTAAGAATTATTTCGGCAATTTTCCATTTTAATATTTTCGTCCCGAGTTTGACTGTGGATAACTGAAACTGCAGATGGAGGCGGGGGGACTACTTAGCTTATTTCTGTTCTCAATTAAGGGATAAAGGTGTACATTTAGAAATTTCAAGATACCTGACCTGAAGTAAATGTTGAAGAGTGTGAACAATTAAAACTTTTTAATTCATGAAACTTGTTTGTACTCTCTTGATTCTTCTCCCCCCACCCCCACCTCCAGGTTTATTCCTGGGCAAAATAAAGTGAAAATGGCAACTTTAGTTAGTTCAAAGAACTTTATGCAAATTTGTTAAAATGATAGGATTATTATTGTATTTATTGGTATTAGTGTCGAAGGTCAAAAGGAATACAAACGCAGGTATATGACAGGAGCACTTACTGAGAGGTAGAGGTTCCTTTCTATTTGTAGTTCCCTACACTAGATGGCAGTGTGTTCTTAAGGAACAGCTTGACTAGTTTAAACTTGTCACTTGAATTGTAGTTTCTGCTTTGAGTTGCCCAGACTGCAATTAGTCACTGCATCCCCAGAGTTATGCAAGCTTCCCTGAGTTGTGTAGTTCCTTCTCTCTAGCTGCCTAGTCTTTCAGCGCAGGCCTGCAAGTGTCCGTGTGTACATTAGAAAACTCAATGCTATTGACATGCATATAGCAGAGATTCATATGTAAAATCAGACCCCCTGTTGTTTGAAAAAAGAAGTGTTTAGAGAATTTTAATTTTTGAAATTTCAAATGGAAAGTGTTAACTTTATTACAGTTTTGATAGTCTCTCCTTGGTGAATTATGAATGACTGACTGTGCCTTTTCTTTAAAGGCTATGGAAAGGGCAAATGGAATGGAGCTGGATGGCAGAAGAATTCGTGTGGACTATTCTATCACCAAGAGAGCACATACACCTACACCAGGCATCTACATGGGCAGACCAACTCAGTAAGATTTCAAGTTTCCTAAGCTAAACTATTTTAGCCAGAAGTCTACCAGATGTATCTACAAAATTTTGATAAGTCAAACGATAAAATTTTCCCTATAATTGAAATGGAAATTTATTTAATTTGTATATATTCTTTGAATCATTTTTTATATATACAGTTGACCCTTGAACAATGAAGGGGTTAGGTGCACCAAATCCTGTGCAGTCAAAAATCCACATCAAACTTTCAGCTCTCCGAAAACATAGTTTTCCCTTGGTATTTACCAGGGGTCGGTTCTAGGACCCCTATGGATACTAAAAATCCATGATACTCAAGTGCCCTAAGTAAAATGCCATGGATCAGTGCATGCAGTTCGCCCTCTGCATACACAGACTCCAACTATTGATTGAAAACAGTGCAGGTATTTATTGGGGGGGAAGAGGGGAAACTGTATAAGTAGGCTGGTGCAGTTCAAAGGTATACTGCGTGTGTGTGTGTGTGTGTGTGTGTGTGTGTGTGCGCGCGCGCGCGCATGCATGCATGCACACACACACACAGGAGGATAAATTAAAATTATTGAAGTGCATTTCTGGCCCTTGGTATTCTACAGATAGAAAAAGTGTTAGATATTAGAAAAATATCATACATTCTTAAAGTATTCCCTTTCTATTCTTTTTTTTTTTTTTATTGTTTTTTTAGAGAGATGAAGGGAGGAGAGAGAAACATTAATTGGTTGCCTCCAGGATGTCTCCCACCACGGGATCGAGCAGTAACCCGGCATGTACCCTGACTGGGAATCAAACCAGTGACCTCTTGGTTCACGGGTCAACGCTCAACCACTGAGCCACACTGACTGGGCACTTCTTAGTGTTTTGGTATTGTTTTCCAGTACAGTTCATTTCACCTTGTGGAAAAGATCCTGGTGATTTTGGCAGGGCATTAATAGAAGAGCAGTTTATAGTTTGGAGAGTTGTGTGTAATCTTTACTGGTTATTTATGTAATGAATAAGAAGCCAAGGCAAGAATACCATGGGTGGCAGCCAACTAAGGCATAGAGGTAATTGGCATGAAAGGGTTATTCTTTGCCTTTTCTCACCTCCTTCCTCTATTTTGTTTTACTTAAGTACCATTTTGTATTAAATGATACTGGAAAATAATCGTTCACATTGATATCAAATGTTTACCTTTTTTTGTAGTAGTGGTGGTGGTGGTGGTGGAGGTGGAGGCGGTGGTGGAGGCGGAGGAGGTGGCAGGCGTCGAGATTCTTACTATGAAAGAGGATATGAGCGTGGTTATGACAGATATGAAGACTACGATTACCGATACAGGTAATATTTAACTTGTAGTTTCTAAATTAGATGACAGTTGTATTATTTGGTGCTTTTGATTTATGTTTGATATGTATTAAGAAAAATATTGGAAAGATTTTATATGATCCTTTCTTAAGAAAGTAGGAAAGAATTATTTTCTCAAAACTGAATACATACATAAATTACCTGTGTTTGCTAGTATTTTGTTGTGCCATATACTTACTGTTTTGGTATCATTGGCACACAGAGAAATTAATAGTTATCATCTTGGGTCCATTATTATTTTGAATGGTGGGAATTTTCATTTTCATTTGCCTCAGTGGATTATGTGTATGCTAAGTAATCTTTTGTTTCCTACAGAAGAAGATCACCTTCTCCTTACTATAGCCGATACAGATCACGATCAAGATCTCGTTCCTACAGCCCGAGTAAGTCCTTTGTGCTTCTACAGCTTTGTTTCTAATTAATGGTTAGTTTTAGAAAATTAGGGTATATGGTGACTGTTACTATATGCAAGTCAAACTATAATTGTCATTTTAACTTTTTTTCTCTCTCTTTCAGGACGCTATTGATGAAGAGAATGATTACATTTGAGGATATCTTTTTCTCTTTTGTTGTTTAATTCTGGATTTCCCTGAGCTTCTAATCCTTCCTACTTAAAAGGAATCCGAAAAAAAATCTTTGGTTTATTTAGCGTCTACACTTTGTCAATTGCATTGGAGTTTTCCACCCCTTTTATTATACTCTTAAAGTTCTAATTGTCATTTTGAGTAGTTAAACATCTTGAGTAAAAAAAAAGGAACCCCCAGTGTTATGCTTTGGGTTTGTTTGTTGTTTTGTTTTTACTTTTACAGAAAATTAACTTCTGGCTAATCAAAAAAGGAAAGAAATGATCTTTTTAAAGCTGCTTTTTTGTTAGGTACTATATTAGAAATCTACATTTGTGACAAACTCCTTTTTTAACTTTCTTTTGGAGAAGATAGTAACACATAAAATAGTTCAGTCATGTCAGGTTTGGGGTGTCATGGAGCAGTCAAATAGTTGAGTGTAGAAAGTTTGAAGCTATAAAACAGTCGTTTCTTTTGAAAAAATGAAAATTTATAACCTTAAAAAGGGCATTTTTCTTAGAGATGGAAAGCTTGTGGGCTCCTATAAAACATGTTCTATTTAAACTACATCTGTTAAGACTTAACAAACTTTACAGTGTGATTTTTTTTTTTGTGTTGAACTTATTGAAGTTTAAGTATTCTCTTAATCAGTGAAGGACAACCCTTACTTATTTATTACTTAGAGCAATTGTATACTTTGCTGTTAGAAATCTTGGTATGGGACAGTGGTTAAGCAGGCTCTTGTATAGTTTAGAGTCCTTAGAGGATATGTATGGGAAAGAGTAGTCTCCTTTCAAATAAAAGTTAATTTCTTTGAAAATGGGACTGTCTCTTTATTGTGTTACAAAGGGAAAATATAACTGGATTGATTTGGGAGCCAGTCCTTTCTTTTCCTAACATTTTTGCTTATATCTAAATGAAATACTTGTCTCTTATTCAGTCTTTAAAAACCTTTGTTTTACTCTCCCATTTTTGTTGGCCATATTGTAAATATTGAGAGTATTTAGTATCAAAGCACCATGCTGAAGGAAAGATAACATGGTTCGTGTCTTCACAAAGTCCACATTCTAATAGGAAACACACTGAAATGACTGTACTATAATGTAAGAGAAGGGTGTTTTCGCAAAGAGGTTATCTATCTGATGTGTCAGGTGATCTTTATGAAAAGGTTTAGAAGATGAACATCTATAATACTGTCAACAATAAAAAACATTTTTTTAGTATAGGAGCATGAGCTCCTTTGTTCCTCCCTGAAAGCAGATATAAAATTAGATTATTATGATCTGTATAATAGATTGATGGGATCTATGGGATTGAAGCACCTCAGATATCTTAATTAAAAAACTACAAAATGTTTGTCATAGTTTTTCTTTCCAATATAGGCTATTCAAAGAACAAAGCGATTTCTTGTTGGTCCCTGGCTGAAGGGTTTTTGTTCTTTAAGCCAGGTTATTAAAAGTATATCAACAACAAGTGATAACATTAGCGACAGTCTGGAAGAAAAGAGCCATGTGAAGAGACTGTAAACATAATTAAACATATGTGTGTGTGTGTGTGTTACATGTATGTTGATGGTGAAAATGTATGTTGATGGTGAAAAAGCAGGGAAGGAGACTAGGTAAATAAGGGGGGGATAAAAATTTAATAGACCAATCTTAAATATAAGTAAATCTGAAGGGAAGGGAAGAAGCCTTATCTGGAAGGAAGAGTATGTTGGGTGTAGGAAATAGCAAATGGGGTGTAGGAAATAGCAAATGTAATGGCCTTACAAGGCAGAAGAATACCTGAAATATTGGACAAGAGAAGACAGATAATAACCTTAAGGGCAGGGCCCTGCTGGGGAAGGGTTTTGGAAGTGTGGTTTCAACCATCCAGCAAGTTTTTTTATAGAAGGGAGCTGTTGTCAGAAGTGGGTGCATGGGTATATTGCTATAGATATATGGGTACATATTAGGCTTAAGGACTAAATGTGTTACATTGCATGGATGTGGATGTGCAACATACAAAAAAAAATGGGGTATTTCTGGGCCTCTTGTTTTTGTTTCTTTTTTGTTAATCCTCATCCAAGGATATTTTTCCCATTGGTTTTTAGAGTGGAAGGGAGGGGGAGAGAGACATTGATTGGTTGCCTCCTACATGTGCCTCAGCCAGGGCCAGGGATCCAGCCTGCAACTGAGGTATGTGTACTTAACTGGAATCAAACGTGTGACCCTTCAGTCCATGGGCTGATGCTCTAATCCAAACTGGCTAGGGCTGTTACCTATATTATTAAACTGGTTGAAGGTAAGAAAAACTTGTTCTAACTCCCTACAACAGTGGTTCCTGTTGATTGGGGGATGAAGGGAGAATGATCATAGAGCCCTTAAAAATCTGATAAAAGTGCAATCTGTCTTCCTAGAAAAAGTAAAGATGTAAAACAATTTGTATACAAATACTAGGTTTTTAAATTTCTTTGTGCGTAGAATAAAATCTATAGGAATATGCACCAGTTTCTAACTGGTAGTTATCCTGTAAAG